TGCTTATCTTTCAATCAAGTCATTTTTAAATTATCAAGCCAAGCTAGAAATATGCAGATGATGATCTAGGACTGAGGACTTTTGACAAGCACAGCTGTCTTGCAGCCTGTTCTGCATGTCAACAGGGTTTTACTTGATTGCTGCATATTATAGTGGAGGAAGACAGCATGGTGGAAATGGTAAGAAAAATGTCATTTCCGGGCCCTCCCTGGTGATGCAGCAGGTAAAAGCGCAGCACTGCAAGCCAGCCACAGCCGCTTCAGTGCAAGTTCGATCCCCAGCCCCTGGTGACCCACATGATGTGACAGACCTCTCCTGACCCGCTCACTACTCCCCTCAGAGAATACTTCGTCAATCTGCCTGTTCTGTTCCCCACTCTGTCTCTGGTGAATCCTCTCACTGCCCCCTGCACCTCTGGCCTTTACCCTAGTTCCTTGTGCATAAATAAATAAATCTTAAAAAAAAAAAAGTTACTTGGAAATAATGGTAACATAACTTTTTCTTAATATTTAAAATAAGACAATGAGAATGTTTTGTTTGAGTCTCTCTAGTCCAGGACCCCGATGGGAAAATTATTAAATATCTGAATAGCCCATGAGGCAAAACATACAACTTTGCATAATCTGCTATAAAAAGAAAAAAGAAAAAGAAAATATAAAAGGTAGGGAAAGAGAGCAGGAGGGGGGAGGCTAGGAAAAAAGGGAAACAAGAAGGCGGGCAGGTGGAAGAGCAGGTCACCAAAAGTTGCTGATCATTTTCTGTTCCTATTGGTCTGTTTGCAAACTAAACTGCAGAAAGCCTGGCTGACCAGCTAAGACCAAGATGGAAGCAGAGATATTTAAGCCACAATAAAAAGCAAGCTGCAAGACAGGACAGATCCAGTCAAGACCAAGCTGAAAGAAAAGGGGCATGAATGTGGTGCCTGAAACACCCACCACCAGCAGCACCCATTTCTCTGAAATCCAGCTGACAGGACCCTCCAGGCTCTCCCCTCTCCACGCCCCCCACAGGTCCCTGCTGCCCCCCACTCTGGGGAGAAGGTCTTTGGAGCACAGGTTCTCTCCTCCATTCCTTGACCTAAGAATGTGAGTTAAACCTTCCAGTGTCTTTCCTGGGCTTGTTCAGGTGTCAGAGGGGGAAAAACTCAGTTGTGTGGTCTCAAATGGAAGGAAGGAAAAAATAAGAGATAATCAAAAGCATCCACCAAGGATGTAGTTCCAGGTCAAAAAATTCCTGCGATCCTACCTAGAGCTGTATATCTAGCGAAAACAAGTGTATTTTGTTTTAAAGTTGTTGTCAAATGCCTGTGAAAAGAAATGATGGTCTTTTAAAAGTAGCACAGTTTAAAAACATCTCAAACAACCGGCCCTCCCTGGTGGCGCAGCAGGTTAAAGCACAGCACTGAGAGGCTAAAGCCGCTTCCCCATGAGTTCGATTCCTGCCTGCCCCGGTGACCACATGGCGTGGCAGACCTCTCCTGACCCGCCCGCTGCTCCCCTCAGCAGTGTACTTCGTCGATCTGTCTGTTCTGCTCCCCACTCTGTCTCCGGTGAAGCCTCTCACCACCCCTGAGCCTCTGGCCTGTACCCCAGTTCTGTATGCACAAATAAATAAATCTTTAAAAAAAAAATCTCAAACAACCAACCTGTTTTCTCAAAATCTAACAGAAAATTCCATTTTTTAAAGTTCACATCTTGCAAAGCAACATTTACTTCTAAAAGCTAAACAGTAAATAAAAACTTGAAAGTTTTGATTAGCACAAAAACCTAGAAACCAGGAGCGGTAAGGATAACGATGACTTTCCCAGTGATCAGTGACCAAATTCAACAAGTGTGTGCATTTTTATTTAGTCGTTGGACAACAATTTCCCAAGGAAATCTCACTTCAAGTTTTCAAACACTAATAGCTTAGATTCTTTCTTCCCAAGAAGATTTGCATAATGAATGGACTTGGAAGCTAAAGATAGTACTTGCTCTGGAGCAAAAGTGCCGATTTGTTTACTGTCCAATACAATGGAGATGATGTCTCGCTCTGAGTCAGAACCCATGCTTGCTTGAAGCACATTCCAAAAGAGTCAGGTTACTCAAGCCCAGGGCTCCTTTTCTGCAGCCCAGCCCAGCCCAGGTAGGTGTGATCTGGTCCTCATTGTGCTGTTCTGTGGGAATGAAGGCTTGGGGAACTGGTATCCAGAAAAGGATAGTACTCTGGTTATTACTGTTAACTCTTACAGCTATTACTGTCCTTTGGCCCAGAGTCAGGGGTTTCGTACCATCTGCCAAACATTATGGAAAGGTAGCAGTCAAATTTGCCCCAAGTCAGAGAAAATCTCAAGGCTGAACAGTTCTTGACATTAATGATACACTATTAAAATTATCCTTGTTATCTTGATAAGCAGATGTAAAAGGCAACAACTTTTAACCCTTTTCCATTGCAATCTTAGAACATTGCCAATAAACTAAGAAGACAGGAAACAATCATTTCAATATTCTCTGAAGCCACTAATAGAGCAGCACATATAAAATTATTAGAGGTATTTTTATTGAAGTTTACAAAATAATAGCACGTTTTGGTCACAACCTTTGAGACAACTTGCAGAACCCAGGATCTCAGCGTGAAAACTACTTCTCAACTACAAGTGGAACAAAAGAAGAAAAAAACTAGAGATGTTTTTTTCTGAAATGCTAGCTACATAGCTTAGGGTGACATCAACCACTGAACCTCTTGAGCTCATGTACCTCATCCCTGTGATGGAACTGTGGTTAAATGTGCACAGAATTGTACAGAATATCAAACCTGATCAGGTACGAGCTGCATTGTAAGTTCCAAAAAGGCAAGTCAAGGTAAACTCTGAGTGTGTGCTATTGTCACTAACAGCAAGCCCTCCCCAGTCCTTTTCGTGGTATAAGCTCAGCAAGCACTCAAGAGCAATCCCAGCATTCAGAGTCTTTTGTTCGTTCAGCAAATATTTATTGTGCCAGGCAGTGAGAGGAACAGGAAAAAAGATTCAGAGGCAGGTACTGGGAAGGAACTTCTGATAAGATAAAACATGGGGGCCCTCCCTGGTGGCGCAGTGGGTTGGAGCGTGGAACTGCTGAAGCTAAGCGAAGCCGAGACCATCTCAGTGTGTGAGCTTGATCTCTGGCCCTGGAGCTGATCCACACGGCACAGCAGACCTCTCCTGTCTCGCGCACTTCTCCCCTCAGCAATGTACTTCATTGATCTGCTTATTCTGCTCCCACTCCATCTCTGGCGAATCCTCTCGCTGCCCCTGCACCTTTGACCTGTACCCAATTTCTGTATGCATAAATAAATCTTAAAAAAAGAAAAGACGCAAAAGGCCTTTCCCATTTGGATATAGTGTCTACCCTCTATTTCTCTTCAATCTGTCAAGAAGCGAGACCATAAAGGAAGCAATGGGAACACAACACAGATCTTTCAATCACTTCTTCAATCAGGTTTATCATCCTAAGTAGAATAAATAGACTACCAGTTGCTTGAGACAGAAGCTGTTGCTGCTAAGAACACTAAGACCCTTTGGGTAAAAGAACTAAAATCTCTATAAATGAAATCTAAGAGGGATTTAATTCCATGGTAAGACTGAGGTTCAATCTGAGTTGCAAAGTCTCTACATTTGAAGATAAAATCCATGTCAGCTTAAAATGTATGTTTCAATTATTTGTTTTAGTAAGGCAAGACTGAAGTGTATCTCAAACACACCTTCTCTTTTACAGCTAACTCTGTTTCAGTATATGGAGCATTTGATAACCCTGAGCTCTTAATCTGATGTCTTAAAGATACTGATTTTCTCACTTGCTACAATAAAATAAAATTCTGTAATCTGGAACATGCAACCAAAATAGATTTTTTCATTGAAAAAAGGGTGTTCAGATTTGATGTTTTTCTTTTAAATTATGGATATTTATCCTGTTTATAAGGCTTTATTTGAAAACTAAAAATTGCACTGTTTGGGAAAATGTAACAGTAATGGCTCTTACTGTTATTATCACCGCTATTACTGTAATTACGGGATGTCTGGGACATTTCCGCTTGTGCAAAATGGAGTGGGGTCTACTAAGGTATGGTGACAGGTAGACCTCAAACCCAACCTGGCTCTTAGCCAGTATACCCCTTAATCTGATGACCTGGTCACCCCTCTTCCATGCACTAACCCACCCACTGTAGAGTAAACAAGACATAGTTTTAACTCCCAGCAGTCATGGAAGGTAGCCAGAGCTGAGGAGAGGGATGCCAGTGCTCCTGCCCTCCTCTTTTACTGATTAAACTGGGAAGAAAAAGAAGCAAGAAAGGTGGGGTGGGAAAGAGACCAGAAAAGTAGATCAGCTCGGAGACAGAGCACTGGGGAGATCTACCAACCCAATGGATGGAAACTAGACTTTTGGTGCTATGCATGATGTAGTATCTATAGATGATCTAATATAAACAGATAACGATATACAAGTCTGTAACCTGAAACCTATATAATGTAGCAACCAATGTTCATTTTCTTAAAAGGTAATGAATGAAAGGAAAAATCAAACATCCACCAACCAAATAGTGAGCTACATTACACTCATGTTTCCAAAGTGCTGATAGATTATTCCCCTTACACACTCTGCTATCTGAAGTTCTTTCAGCACTCAGCTCTTGACCTGAGAGAGAACTTCCCCCCATCTGACACTGCCTCTCTAGCCGCTGACAAGACCAAACCTCCAAGTTAGATAATAACATTGTTTTAAGAAGAGAAAGGGCTACCGCATCAAGTTTTGCAAGCTGACTTAAATATAGGAAATATTATTTGAATACTAGTAATCTTATGCTAGCAATTTAATCTCTGCAAAAGAGAAAAGCAAATGATGAGAATTTTTTCATGCTAAAAGGAACAGTTATGTAACCATCCCACATGGAAGAGCCAGGCTGAAGTCAAAACGATAAAAGATCAAATAGCCTCGGTTCTGTCTATTAAGTCAAGGTTACAACAGGGAATTTTGCATGCAACATACTTCTCATAGAGCCTCTGGCCTCTCATGAAGGCCTTCACTTCATTGTCCAATGGGAAGGTGCCATCATCCTTTCTAAAGCGGTAGAAGAGCTTGACATCCTTGAATTCCTTATGCTCATCACACACTGAAACACAATGTACAAAGAGAGACAAGTGAGAAAAAAAAAAAACAATTCTCTAGTGACTCAAATGAAATAAAATGCTAACTGAGAATTGACTTACTACCTACTTTTTCAATACACAAATATTTATGATTTGACTCAGTACATGTAAAGTGGAACAGCTGTTCCAGTGCCTGGAACAGAATAAGTGTTCAGAATTATTACCACCGTTACTATCATCATTATTATTATCCATGAGAAGGACCACAAAATTCAATTTAGCATTCATGCCGCAGTTTCTTCTGAGCATGCTATTGCAGTAGCATCATTCTCAAAGAAAGTGCAATCCAGAGAGATTTAAAAAGAATGTCAACGTGCACATAAGCCACGGTATATTAAGCTATGAAAGAGGAGATATGAGACTGGATGGCAGTCCAAAGGGGGACCACAAGTACCCCAGCCACTTGATTTTGGGCTATGGAAGCTTCTCTGAGGTGGCACAGAACTGGGGTTTGAAGAATGAGTAGCAATTAGTCAAAAGCAAAAAGGAAGGACAGTGTAGGTCAAGAGAATAACTGCAGGGAAAGGCCTCAGTCAAGGTCAGAGACTAAAGGGGAAAAGTTCAAGACTATTTACTGAACCACTCAGCGTAACCCCCAAAACTTGGAAGCAACCTAAATGTCCATCAGGAGACTGGATAAGCATACAATGGTGTAATTAACATGGCACAGGACATAGCAGTGACAATGGGCAAGCTAGCGATACATACTACCTACATGGATGAATCTCAGTGAGCTGGTCAAAGTGCAAAAGAATAAACATGCATCTCTCTAACTGCTTAAAATAGTAAGACACTTGGCTGACAGAGGCATGCACAGAAAGTCCATGGAAATAAACCAAATGTCTCTTGGATGGAGGAAGGGACTATAATTGGGCAGAGCTTCACAGGAGACCATATAAAGTAAAATGGGTAGATTCCGTGCTGAAATAGAAGGTAGTCCTTTGTTTCCTTTCAGGGTACCTTGACTGTGCCACCTCACTCACCATGATGAATAATGCCCCGGTCTGCTAATTTCTGCATGAGTTTAATTGCAGTCTCTCTGTCAGAAGCCTCTTTGTGCTCAATCAGCCAGTCAATCAGTTCTTTTGCGACAAAACAGTTTGGGTAGGTCTTGAGATGATGTCTTCGATCTTTAATAACCTTCTCTTCATGCAGTCTGAGCCTGAAAAGAAAATTGGGCAATCACTTTCAGAATTTTAATGACAACACAAATGATTAAACCATTCCTAGAGAAGAGAATCAAAAGGGAGACTCTAAATGCATCAGCGTCCACCAAATATCTGTGTATCACTGGGTGATTTCTGTACTGTCAGAATCCAGGGAGTGATTCTCCCTTCCAATCTAGAAATGACACAGGAAAATGGGTGAGAAAAACAACCTCAGCCACCACATAACAGATTCCAGTCTCCTTTTTTCCTCATCCTGAATTACAGGCTCATCCCCTGCTGATGTGTTTTGGAGCAGAATGCACTGAAGGGTTGAATGGCTTTGGCTACCACCAGAGTTGCCACCACCAGGAGCTGAGCATGAGCTGGCCTGGCACATTCAGACTCAGTGCCCTTCCTTGCTAGACCCCTGATGGGGTGAAATGTGTTCCCTGAAATTTATATGTGGAGCCTCATATCCCTCAGACTTCAGACTGTATTTGGAGACAGGGTCTTTACAAGGGAATTAAATTAAAATGAGTTCATGAGGATGGAAGCGAACCCCAGTGAGTAGTGTTTGTGGAAGTACAGATACACAGCACAGGCCACAATGAAAAAGATGGTTATTTACAAGCCCTGGGGAGGGGCCTGTGGAAAAAACTAACCCCATCAACTTAGTCATCTCCAGGACTGTGAGCAAGTTACTTTCTGTTATTTAGACCAGCCAGGCTGTGGAACTTTGTTATGGCTGCTGATCGGCCCAAAATAACCACCAGCTGCTTGAAAATGGAGGCTCCCGAGGAGTGTGCCATGAAGGGCTCAGTGGGCTGTCACAGTGGGGAAGGAGTGAGGAGACTAACAGCTGTAACTGCATAGAAAGAGAAGTCTTAACTGAGTCCCTAATATGTGGTGTGTTGGACTATGCATTTCCATACATGCTGACTTAATGAGTGACTTGGCATGAAGGCTTCTACCCCCAACCACAGGTTGAAATGCAGTGCCCTACAATGATAATGAGGAGGCCCATCCGGAAAACAGGACTTGGAATATGAAGATCTGGCTCTCGTCCTGACAGCACCAGTGATTCCAAGCACCAGAGTCCTCATTGGAAAGATAGGGATGTGGTCCCCCGCTAACCAGCCCCACTGTCACCAGGCTCATTCATAAGAATAAAGAGAACAGTTGAGTCCTTTCCGAGTCCTGCAGTTTTAATTTCTTTGTTGTCATCAATCTCATCACAATTCCCTGAGGCCGGAATGTTAAAATCACAAAAGATACGATGTAGATATGTAATTACTAATACAAAATAAATGAACCCTAATTAAAAAGAAGATTCACATGAGCATGCGCAAGTCATCCCAGAACCCCTCTAATTAATTCAGTGACAATGACACTGAGTAATTTGTTGAACATGCTGAAAGCGGCAGGATGTGAAACATTAATTCTTAGACATGATGTCTGTCACGAACCCAGGAAGATTGAAGCCCAATTCATTTAGAAATTGAGATGTGGAACAAGCTACCATATAATTTGGTGGGGGAGGAATAGGTTATGAGCCAAAGGAGGAGTTTGAGCTCTTGTAACCTTTCCAAATTAAAAAAAAAATAACTATTTGGTAATGTTTATCTTTAAATACGACAGAACAGAGCCTTTCAGTGACTATCGTTTCAAGAACCCTGAGCTTGGTGCTAATTCCTGAGCATGTGGCTTTCCACCGAGTCCCACCCTGCACGGGAGGGAGAAGCACTAAAATGTCAACTCCTCTGTCCCACCAGGGCCTGGTACATTTCCATGTTTAAAAAATCCCCCGAGCAGAATAATGATAGAGGGGAAATAACTTAGGATCCTGGAGCTAGCCAAGAACGTGTTATTTTTAGATATATTATGAGAGGTAAAAGATGTTCAATGACCATCCTTTTTTTATAGTCAGAAACAGATCATTCTTTTTTCCTTAAGATTTATTTATTTGTGCATACAGAGCTGGGATAGAGGCCAGAGGCTCAGGGGCAGTGAGAGGATTCACCAGAGACAGTGGGGAACAGAACAGGCAGATGGACGAAGTACACTGCTGAGGGGAGCAGCGGGAGACAGGAGAGGTCTGCTGCACTCTGTGGGTCAGTTCCTTCGCCAGGTATCAAACTCACGCTGAATTGGTTGTGGCGAGCTTTGGAGTACTGTGTTTTAACCTGTTGCGCCACCAGGGAGGGCCCAGAAGAAGATAATTCTAAAAAGTAAGCATTGAAATGGGTACTCCAGAAGAATGATCCCAACAAAGAGATAAGAATGTTCACACTGCAAACACATAACCAAGTGTTTTGCCTGATCCAATAAGTATTTAACCAAACTGTCAGTGAACAAACAGACAAGAGCACTAACAGAAGTTAACACCATTTTCAAAGAGGTAGGGAGGCTTCTCCTTGTAGTCCAGCTCCAACTGCATAACTTAATAACTGACTTGTCATAGAATTTACCTAAGTCTGTTTTTTTTTTTTTAATGTTATTTACATTTCCACTTCTAGGGTAGCCAGCTTCCAAAGTTTTAATCCCTGGTGGGAGTGTGTGTGCTTTCAAAAGCATTTTCTTTTACTTTTACTGGACTTAAACCCTTTCACAACTTTGATCTTATTAGCAGCCTGGAAGTCTCCTAGAAGACGATAGCGAGCAATATTTCAGTGTCTTTTTTTAAAAAAAAGACTGCCTGTTCTGTGCCCCACTCTATCCCTGGTGAATCCTCTCACCCTCCGCATCTCTGGCCTGTACCCCAGTTCTGTATGAATAAATAAATCTTTAAAAAAAAAAAGATTTATTTTTTTATTCTCACAAAACTGGGGTACAGGCCAGAGGTGGGGGGCAGGGTTTGAGAGGATTCACCAGAGACAGAGTGGGGAGCAGAACCGGCCTACTGACAAAGTACACTGCACCATGTGGGTCACCTCTGGGGCAGGGGATCGAACTCGAGCTGCAGTGGCTTTGAAGAGCTTCACAGATTGGTGCTTTATCCTGTTGCACCAGAGAGGGCCCAAAGCCACTTTTGTTGTTGTTGTTGTTTGTTTGTTTTTAATATAATAGTTTATTTTTACATCACTTTATGCATTTTCCCATCTCAGTTGTTATCCCTGTGGGGTTCCCATCATCAAATCACCCATGTGCCATCACCATAGTCCAGTGCACTTCTCACCCCCCCACCCCACTTCCAAAGCCACATTTTTTTTTTTAAAGATTTATTTATTTATTCATACAGAACTGGGGCACAGGCCAGAGATGCGGAGGGTGAGAGGATTCACCAGGGATAGAGTGGGGCACAGAACAGGCAGATTGATGAGGTACACTGCTGAGGGGAGCAGCGGGTGGGTCAGGAGAGGTCTGCTGCGCCATGTGGATCTCCTCTGGGGCAGGCGGGGATCGAACTCATGAGGAAGTGGCTTTAGCTTCTTAGTGCAGTGCTTTAACCCGCTGCGCCACCAGGGAGGGACCCGTAAAGCCACATTTTTTTTTTAATTTATTTATTCATACAGAACTGGGGTACAGGCCAGAGATGCGGAGGGTGAGAGGCTTCACCAGAGACAGAGTGGGGAGCAGAACAGGCAGATCGACGAAGTACACTGCTGAGGGGAGCAGCGGGCGGGCCAGGAGAGGTCTGCCGCGCCATGTGGTCACCTCCAGGGCAAGCAGGGATCGAACTCATGCGGAAGTGGCTTTAGTCTCTCAGTTCAGTGCTTTAACCCGCTGCGCCACCAGGGAGGGCCCAAAGCCACATTTTTTAACACAGTATTTTAGTCGGTCACATCAGTCATGTTGCCTTCCATCCCCAACATCTCCTTTTATTTAAAACTGTCTTCCATACCTAACGCCCGGCAGGGTTCAAAAGCTCAGCTAGCTTGCTGTGCATGGGGTGGAACCTGCATGCAAAAGCAGGAGCGTGGCCTCTGTACTAGCACAGCCAGTTCAGTGAGAACCAGTATGAGATTCGGCCTAGAGCAGTTAGCTAAGCCAAGCACAATGGCCCCCTCCAAGATCTGACTTAGTGTTAGAGTTCCCCACGTGAGCCCCAGGGACTGGCTCTCAAGGGAGGGCTGACCCAGATGTCACTGTATAAAACCAAGCAGTGGGAAGTGTGTTTGTGTTCAAAAGGGAAGGCCCCCAGGTCCAGAGTTCCTCCTGATGCTCCCATTGGGTGTTCCTGCCTACACCTTCCATATGGCCCAAACTACATGGTATTCCTAAAACAAAGGTTAAAACATCTCAGAACTAGAAGACCCTGAGAAAACTGGCCAATCAAGAGGTTGTGGAGTAAAGGGGCCGGTGGGTGTGGCAGATAGAACAACATAGAGAGGCTGAGAGGGCAGTAGAAGCAGCTCCTGAAACCAAATGAAAGATGGCAAGGGCCCTCCCTGGTGGTGCAATGGGTTAGGACACAGCACTGCAAATGGCCGCAACCACTTCAGTGCGAGTTTGATCCTAGCCCTGGAGGTGATCCACATGGGGCGCAGACCTCTCCTGACACTTCTGCTGCTCCCCACAGCAGTGTACTTCGTCAATCTGCCTGTTCTGCTCCCCACTCTGTCTCTGATGAATCCTCTCACCACCCCTGCCCCTCTGGCCTGTGCCCCAGTTCTGTATGCATAAATAAATAAAATCTTTTTTTCTTTTTTTAAAAAAGAATGATAACAAGATACCCTGGTGCACCTTGGTTCTTTAGAGTTTTCCAGTTCTTCTTCCAAGTTAAGCACAACCCAATAATAACTACCCCATCATGTGGCTTTGTAAGTTTCTATTCCTTAGATCCAAAAGACCCAAATCAATGTAGGTTCTAGAGCACCCCACCTCCTAAGACCACCCACACTGAAAAAGGCCTCCGGCCAGGCTTCCTGGCTCGCTCTCTCCTCCAGGAACATGCACACTGAGTGCTTCTCCATTCCCTGAGCAAGCCTTCACCCTTCCTGCCTGTACTCCAGACAGGGACCCCTCTGCTTAGAACACTCCCTTCTCCAGCCTCCAACACTGAAAGATTCTACTT